ATGTGTTATAGATGAAAGAAAAAATTGATAATTAGTGAGTACAAACTAAATTGGAAATTGGAAACAAAATTGGAAATTGAAGAATATTAGAATTGGAAATTGGAAACAAAATTGGAAATTGAAGAATATTAGAACTGGAAATTGAAGAATATTATTTTCAAAAATCAAAACTAAATTCATCTAAGTATGTTTTATTATGTTTTTTTTAAAAACAATCAAAATATCAACAGTCATTTTTAAACAACACTAAACTTTATCTAACGGCCATTATTTTAGCTAAATTTATAATTAAAATATTTTAACTATAGTTGTTCCTTAAATCAAATATCAAAGTTAATCATATGATTTCTCTTCTTTTATCTGGGAGAAAAGATATATCATGTTATTAGCATCTTTAAATCATTTTTTATTTCCAACGGAATTGATGTTTGGTCTTTTAAATAAACAAGGGAGAATTTCAAAAATACCCCTTTTCCAATAACACTTTTTAAAAATACCCCTCTTTCTAATTTTATCAATAAGTCACTATAAATTTGAAATTTATCAAAAAATATGTGTAAGCTTATATTTATAGACACAAATTATCTTTATATGTGTGTAAATTTATAATTTATATAATAATATTTGGAGTGCTTTGTGGTCCTTTGAAATACACTTGCAACTGCCAAATTACATAAAATAATATTGATTTCTAGTTGATTGCGTATTGGCTGGTGTGAGATAGTTAACTCTTTATTATGACCATTGTTTTCTTTCAACCTAGAATTTGTAAGTAGGATGTTGTAGATTAATTAGAAAAATTCAATGTTAGACGTGAAACATCAAATGTAATCAAAACTTAAACAACCAAATTATGCAAACATTTTCACTCGATATTATATTTTTAATGTACTGATTATGAATTTGACATATTGTGTGGGTATTTTTTTTATTGATTGTTCACTTATTATTAAACGTGTAAATCAATCAAATGAATTTATTAAAAATATAATTATAATTGATCAACGTCACCAAATGAGTTTGAGGTCAAGGTGAACTCATTCGTAACATATTCGACACACTTCAGATTCATATACATCCTGTGCATCTAACATTTTCCCGACAACGATATCGAGTCAGGTAGATTTAGGTTTCACTTTCGGTTTGGTAGATATCCTCATAGTCGAGCACACACATACATGAGGAGCGTATTTGAAAATTTTATACCTAAAGGTGCGAGACTAAATGAAGATCCACGAAACAAAAAATTTCATTAAAAACCGAAATACAATTCTACCTAAATCCTAGCCAAATACTCCGAAATTATCCTTCACATTTTACACTAAAAAATTCTATTAAATTCCTTTCTAATCACTTTTTCGTGTAAACCTACAAAAAATTCAATAACAGTAGCAATTAATATCATTAAGAAATGAAGAAACTGAATAATACTAGGATTCAAAAGAGTTTATAAAATACCTAATTGAATAACACGACAATTTAACATTCTATTAAATTCTATCAAATTCACTAGTTCAATATCACCCCCTTAGAATACCTCTTATACTTTTTGTATATGTTCTAAAAATATTGATTTTATATTTTATGCACTATAAATGTTCTGCAAAATGGTACATTAAAATTTTAACATGTACATGTTTTAAAAAGTTTGGAACATATATATCTTCTATAACTTTAATAATTTTGTTTTTTCAGTGTTCTACAAAAATTGGAAATATGTATTCTACGCATTACTTTATCTTCCAAAATTTTTTGAAATTGTTTTCTACAGCTTACACAATGATCTACTGAAGTTAGAATATGAATTCTATGATTTATCATATATTCTATGGAAGTTAAAATATTAATTATATACTTTAATCGATATTCTTAATAGTTTAGAATAGGTATTCTATAAAATTTAGAATTGTTATATAAGAAAACTGGATTTTATAGTGTCCACTTCCACACTTCATAGTTCTTTTTTTCCCAGACTTCATAGTTCCAACTATATATATTTTTTTCATTCATTATTTTCCACACTTGAATCTAGTTAACTATTCCAAATTTTTAGCAGTTTAAATGTTTTGATTTCTTGAATATATTTTGTTAAGTTTGTGTTGAACGTTATTGAAATAGATGAATCTTTAAAAACTAATGTATTATAGAATAAGATACTTCTTTTCTTATCTTCAGTCAGCCCAAATGTCTTTATTTTATAAACCTTGTTTATCTTTGAACACTAGAATTTAACTCGCGGTACACCGCGGGACAATATTTTAAAATGAATTATTTTTTACCGCGGGATGATATTTTAAAATAAATTATTTTTTAAATTTTGTTTGGTATATAAGATTGTACTACTGTATTTGGATTGTTAATTCTGTAATTTAACCCGCGAAATATGGCATGATATTTTTTTGTATATAAACGTAATTTGATCAACTTAACTAAATAAGTATAATATTTAAAATAATGAAATGATGTTGGCATAACATCTTTTGTTTAAATAGTCTAATTTCAAATTAAAATGTTTTGTGAGCTTGACTATAGTAGACAACCCGTAAAAACATATATGTAATTTATAACTCGTTCCATCACATGACACGTGCTTCACAATTATCAATAATACTTTAGTACATCTTATATTTTTTGTGTCGATTCAGTAATATACGTCCGTTTTCAAAAATTCAAATTGTAACATATGCGAAAAAATATATTTTTACTATACATATGTTTTATGTAATAATATAATTTTCAAAACAAATAAGATTATATAAAGATATTGGAGAAATATTTGATTTATTAGGGAGATATTTTAGGAAATTTTGTTAAATGTAATAAATACTTATTTCTAATTTTGTAATTTTATTATGATTTAATTACAAAATTTACATTAAACTTTTATTACTTAATCAAATTGCAAAGGTTTAATTATGCAAATATTACAAAATGAAAAGGTATAACACAAAATGTACTTCAAAAATGTTAATATGTAAATACTAAATACTTTACATTTGCACAATTTTGGATATGAGCCCGAATAGAGTTTATATGGTATCATCGAGACAAACCCACTAAACTAAAAGGCTTGCCAACTGCTTTATTATTTGTACCATAATCAATAACAAAGTTATTTTAACAATCTACTAATTTTATGTTTGCATCCATATTTCAAAATCCTAAGAAGTTCTGATAATTAACTTGAAAACAAAATATGATTAAACTAACCTGAAAATCATAGTAGAACTATAAAACTTTGAAATTAATATGCTCGAAAGAAATTTAATGACATATTCAAAACTTTATATATTTTAAAACTTTATATATCAATAGATATTTTAATACAGTATTTTAAGGTTATAACCCAAAATAGATTTTAGTACAAAATGTACTTCAAAAATGTATATATATATTCTAATCTAGTATTGATTCCTAACACAAGAAAACACCATATTAGTATTCTTCAATTTTACAATTTACAAAATAATGGTTTGTATAAACCTATTTTAGCTAGAGTCAAATTTCTTACATTAGTTGTAATTCTAAGACTTCACATAATATGATAGTAATTTTAAATTAGCAACTTGGGCATAGTGGGAGATTAGTAGGTAACTGGCAGGAAATTAAAAAGTTAAAGAGACTTTATAAATGTAATTCGTCAGCTCATCTGTAAATTTTGACTCCTATAAACAATCAAAATCGATTTGGTCTTAGATATTTTTGTCTGCCTAATATATATACACAAATACACTAATGCACGCCTAATCTAGATATATAACTATAATATAAAGACACTAAATGCGCAAGCTGTATCCAAATGATTCAAACTAGGTGACTAGCTAAGTAAGTATAATACAACTAGATATACAATTCTCATCAGTTTTTAACAAGATGATCATAAATTAACCCTTATCATCAATAATACTAGTAAATATGCTTTAGTTTGAAACCAATGGAGCAAATGGAAGAAGCCATGGTCATACACCTACCTCGAACACCAAACTTAAGAAAACTATCGACAAAAACATCCGTAATCGCTTCAGTACTGTTCGAAAATCGGCAAATGAGGCTTATGCCGATGGTTTTCGCTATTGGTTTCACACTCAAAGCCTCAGGAAGTATCTTTTTTCTCTGACGTAGACGGGCATTCCTATCGAGATTACATTCTTAGGACCGGGAGGTCGAAGAATCTATATGCTACCTTACTTAAACCTCTTTTTTTTTTGTAACTTTCAGTTTTAGAATCATTTTCTTTTCAATTCTTTAAACTGTAAATGTTGTATTCATTGCAAAAACGTCTATTCGAATAAATTTTACATTCATACAACAAAAACATAGCGTTTAAAAACTGTCGATATAAGTTGTGTAAATTTATCGTATATAGTTGTTGTCAAACTGCAATATCCATGCCACTTTAGCTATCTTGATCCAAGATTCCTATATGTTTTTAAAGTGTTTCCACGTCCACGGCAGATGAATATTCGTGAACTATAGATAATTCAAATATGATACAAAACCTTGTAGAATAATAACAACTAGACGTGGTATACATAAACTTTATGAGAATTCCACTAAGTTGTGAAAAGGCACAAAACTTTGAATACCCCATAAAGCAAAAACTTCCATTGATTCTTTTAATATTCTATGATACTTCATACTTGTCAAGAGTTTCAACCACATATATCAAAAAGCTATATGCATATGTAATTGGTGTTGTCATAAAGCACATCATAGTCGTATAATAGCTGTAAAAATTTACCCAAATTCTTAAAAATATTAATTGGTCTATTATGTGTATAACTTAAAAGAAACAATTACCAAAAATGTTACAAACTTTATACCAAACGGTGAATATAATAACGCGTCTTTCTTTAGACGACGCAATGTTATATATAAACTAAAGAATATAAAAATTTGGACCAAATCAAAAACCAAACTAGAAGACTTAAGAAAACAAAAAAAAAAGTAAACTCAATGAAAAGACCAACTAAATAATTTTCACAAAAAATAATTATATATCTTTTACATTTCGTAAAGACAAATTATATACATTAGATTTTAAGAAAAGAACAAAAATAAAAAGAATATTAATTAAGAGAGTAGGTGAGACTAGAAAAAACTCAGTACCGTTCCCCACCAGCCTCACTCCTCAACGGCGAATTCACTCCGTTCCTCAACGTTCTCCGGTGGTTATCTCTAGAATTCCTCGGCGACTTAGCTGTCGGAGATGGCGACTTAGCGGTCGGCGAAGGCGACGACTTAGGATGGTTACTTTGTTGTTGTTGTTGATGATGATAATGACTACTCTTACGTGGCTTAGTACCACCAACACGACCTTCATCTTCTTTATTGTCCGGAGTATTTGGCACCGTGTAAGTAAATGTTCCCATGGGAATATCATTGTACTCTTTAAGATCATTGAGTATAGAGACGACGGCACTCATACAAGGCCGGTTCTTAGGTCGATGACTTAAGCATTGGTAAGCCAACGTTGCTGCTTTTCTTGCACCTGTCTCTGAGTACTGACCTTCAAGTCTCGGGTCCATGATTCGACTAAGTTTACGCGGGTCATTAAGCATCGGACGAGCCCAATCCACGAGGTTTTGTTCCCTCGATGATCGCTTCTTGTCTACCGATCTTCGCCCTGTCAAAAGCTCTAACAACACAACACCAAAGCTGTATATGTCACTTCTTGCTGTTAAATGACCGGTCATGATGTACTCGGGAGCCGCGTATCCTTGTGTTCCCATCACTCTTGTTGATACATGAGTGTCGTCTCCTTCGGGTCCGTCTTTGGCTAATCCGAAGTCAGAGAGCTTAGCCGTGTAATCCTGAAAAAAAACAAGATTTGAGAATTGTATAGCTTTGTTAGAGTTTTGTTTGAAGTTGTTATAATTTAATCAAAACGGTTCAATGAGACTTACGGAATCTAATAAGATATTAGAAGCTTTGAAATCGCGATAGATGACAGGGTTTTTAGCTTCGTGTAGAAATTGAAGTCCTGTTGCGGCTCCATGAGCAATCTTCATCCTCGTAGACCAAGGTAACGAGGCAGAGTATCCTGTAAATATAGTAATATAAAAACTCTGTTAGGACATATTCTTGTCGGAACTTGAACAGTAATGGATAAGAGAACATAGAGGAAGAGTACTCACTTCTGAAAAGTTGATTCTCTAAGCTTCCACGAGGCATGAACTCATAAACAAGAGTTCTATGTTCTTCCTCACAACAATAACCAATCAGTTTCACCAAGTTTTTGTGTTTTAGCTGTCCTAAAAACATAACTTCTGTCTGAAAAAAAAAAAACAAAGATTAAAACTCAATATAAGATCTCAAGAGAGAGAGACTTAACAAAATCAAGAAAAGAGAAGTATCTTAATTAAAGATTACTAACCAGCCATTCACGGTGACCTTGAAGACCTTCAAGATCGAGTAATTTAACAGCTACAGGCTGAGCTTTAAGACCAGGACGAAGCTTATCATCAATGAAACCTTTATGAACAGGACCAAACCCACCTTCACCTAAGAAATTAGTAGATGAGAAGCTTTGCGTGATGACTTTAAGCTCGGCTAAAGTGAACACATGGAGATCTGATCCGGCCAAAGAGATTGATAGATCTTCTGACAAAGTGTTGGAACTTGGATTGCTCAAATCAAGAATCGCTAGTCTTTGGAAAGAGCTCTGTTTCTTGATGACGTCATCACCTTTTCTTTTTGGTTTTTTAGATGAAGCCATTAGGGTTTCTGGATCTCCTAAACATCCAACGATCAATGATCTCCATGATACTTTCTTCTTCACCGCCATTGTTGTTTTCTTGTTCTTGTTCTTGTTCTTGGCTTTTTTGGTTTTGGAAATGAGAGATGGTTTAAATTTAAAGAAGATGAGAAGAAGACTTTATAATATAAAGTTTTATTAAGTATGGTTTGGTATTTAAAGGTCACGAGGAGAGAAAGAGAGAGAGAGATGAATGAAGACTTTTGTTTACTAATTTCAATTCAAATTCACCTACTACTACTAGTGCTACTCGTTCATTATATTCTAGGGTGATGGCTAATATTATTTTACAACCATGGTTTGACATTGTAATTATTTTTATATATATAACACATGCGTATTTTTATCCGAATTAATCATAGATTTATCATTTTCTGTGATGGTATTTATTTATTTTATTTTTATTTATTATTTTTATCCGAATTAATCATAGATTTATTTACAATTTTATGAATTTATCACTAAGTGAAAAATACGATTAAACATGCATTTAACCCATTTGTTGGTTTTGTTTGTTCTTAAAATGTAACATATGTTATAACGTATGTATTTTAGCAAAACAAAATTGTATATATAGATATTTTAAATTATTTTTTTTTGTTGTCAGTCAAACTTATATTAAAATAACATTCTGAAGTGTTTTAAAATAAAAAAATTTCATAAAAATATCGTCGTAATTTCGGTCTAATAAATTGGTATTTTTTGGAAGAATCCCTTTTTAATCTTTGTTTATATATTTTTTTAGCAAAAGTAACAAGTTGTTTGAAGTCAAAATAAATAAAAATTAACGAGTTGATTTATAAGCTAATATTATTTTCTTCTAACCATGCTTTGACATTGTAATTACATAGCACACGTTTTATCTTCTTTATTTTTTTTTGTCTTTGTTAGATATTTTTTTTTTGTAACGAGTTGATTAATAAGTTAGTGGTAGGGTGCTTCCAAAATTGACAGCTTTGCACCTTTCTCTAACGAGTAAAACGAAATAACAAAAATACGTGTTATCGTTTCGTCAATGGAGGACCATGTACATGTGATTCTGATGCAATGACGCCACGCCAAATAAAAAGTTTCAGATAAATTTATTAAATTTTTGTTTGGAATATATTTTTTTAGATATTTTGGAAGTTTGAGTGTAAATACAAAAGAAGACAATAATAAAGCTATTTTGTTTTTTGTGTGTTTTGAATTCATTTTTTTTTGGTCATTTCTAGTAGTTTTACATGCTGGAGAGGATGGTCTGTCACGGTCAAATTTGACTACTAGTTTTTGGTAATAATCACGATACACCGTTTCGGTAAAACTTTACAATATAAATATGTAAAAATCTTTGATCGTGGCAAAGTAAAGAAACATCAAATAAATTTGCATGTAATGATTAACCTTGTCATTAATCGGAAAATGTTCCAAATTTAGAACAAACAGTCTGGTAATTGTTCGAAGAATAGTCTATTCTAAAGTATTTCAATGCATTTTTATCGGTGCTAACCGGATCAGTCGATAGAGTTTATCAAAAGAAATTATTTGCATGAAATATAGCTTTCAGTTTCAATCTTTATATTTAAAGATGGACAAACTTGTTAAACAATTGTACAAAGCAAATCTTGATTTAAGAAAGGGATAGACATGATAGTGATTGAAAATAAAATTACTTTTGCCTATCAAACTGTTATTAATATAATTTACATTTAGTTTTGTCTACATCTTCTTCTTTCAACCTATTTCTATTTTATTCTACTTTATTTGTTTTCTCACTATCAATCCTATCTAAGTATATTCTCACTTTTTCTACTAAAAAGACAAAAATTATGGGAGTAATTATTGTATAATATGCCATTTTTTGTTCACCCTTTTCTGGATTTGCCATATTATTGCGAGTATTTTAGATTTTGCCATTTTTACCACCTAAAAATAAACGTTTTTAAATTTATTTTTTGCTAAAATACATATTTCATAACAAGACTAAACATAAAAAATAGCACAAAAAATAAAGTTTTTAATTCTCGGAAATTTTTTTTAGCCAAAATAGCAAAATCCACGAACTGACATTAAAAAAAAAAAAGGTGTTTTCATAATTGACTAAAAAATTATCTCTAATTAAACATATGAATAAAGAGAGCTAGAAGACTATCTTTTTGTTTTAGTGTTCCTTCTCATTTTAAAGAAGTAGGCAATGACTATCTTCTAAAATCCAAATAATGACTTTAAGAAAAATATCTAGGGTTTTGTGAACCTTTTTGGTTTAGGTTTTTGGCAAGCTTAGTGCATGGAGATGTAGAGTCTTAAACTGTGAAAAAATGTGAGATATACATTTAGATTGTAACAAATTATAACACATCAATAACAATATGTTAAGCAGCTAAAATTATAATGTCGTCATGCCCATATAACTACAAATAACGATAATATTATTTAGAAACAGTCAACTATATATAAAAAAAACAAAACAAAACGATTCTAGAAGATTAGAACACTCCTCCTGATCTCTTGTCTTGTCCTTCTTCTCCAAGCAACATGTATATAGTCAAGAAATTAGTTTGGTCAAAACTAAAGAAAAACAAGTGAACACAAAAAAAAAAAGCCCAAACAAGAAATGTAACATTTCAACAAACACCCTTGAGAAAAAAACAAAGATTTGAAAAAAGAGTGTTTGGTAGAAATGCAATATATATTAGAAAAAATGTGTCAAGCTTCTAGAAACATATCGTTTTAGATATCAATAATTAGAAGAAGAAGAAGAAGAAACACATCGTGTGATAATGAGAACAAAGGTGAAGAAGATCTCAAACGCGTTTGTCTGAAGACTGCGACTTATTCGTCTTTGAAGTATATATATATAATTGTATTTTGTATTTTGAGAGATTCGTTTTGGTTTAGTTTGAGTAGTTGACATTTACTTTTGGTCTTACTAAATGGATCCCATTTGATCTTATTTTCTGGAATGAAAATGTTAATTTAATTCAGTTTTTTCTTTTATTTTCCAACAAATGACTTGAGGATAAACCAATGTATACCTCAATAATTAGATAAATAATCTGATTATTAAGATAAAATCGTGTAAATTTTTGAGTTATCAGTTAGAACTTTAAACTGTTACAGAATAACGTAAAACTATAATGAAAATCATACAAATGTAACATTTTTTGTAGCACGTTATAATATTTTTTATTGGCAATTATGAAAATTGTATATTCTAACGGTGTTACCAATTAAAACCATTATTTATTGAATTAATATAATTAACTCGATTTATCGTTATTTTTTATTAATGCGGCGGATAAACTAATAAATATGGACATTGGATAAGACGGATGGGCGAACAAATTGATTTATGAGTGAATCCATAATAGAATCAAAATGTTTAACTCGATTTTTTTTTTCTATGTTTTATACTTTTATTTAATCGACGGATAAACTAATAAATATTTCTATAATGATAAGACGGATGAACGAACAAATAGAATTATGAGTCAATCTATTATAGTATCAAAATGTTTAACTCGATTTTATTTACTCAGACGGATAAACTAATTAATACATCTATATGTTCAACCTGCAAGGAGCCAATGGATTAGATTATGAACGAACTGATGAATGATTCAATGGTTGAATCCTTGGCTGTGATATCTAAAAGTTTATTAGGGGAACATGTTTCTATTTTAAATACTATTGCATCATCCGTACGTGTATTTGCCTACAACGAGAGGACAAAAACATGTATATTCTTCTTAATTTTTTGGTTTTAATATTAAGATATTCTTTTATTCTTTTGTTATGTATATTCTTCCCGAAAAATTGTTCTTTCATAATTTGTTAGATTCCTGTCTTTTATTTTTGTTTAATGGTGTGATTGGAGAGATGCAATTGGATTAGCAAAGCATTTGTATAAACAATATAATCGAGAATTGTTAATTATTATATAGAAACTTGTTCTATTTTTAGAAGTAGATGATAATTTATAAAAGAAGTCAATAGAAAGGTTTTTTTGCTTTTGGTGTACCAAGTCTTTAACTTCTTTGGAACCTTAGGAAGTTTCCAAAATTCAAATATTTATAGTGAAGAAGACACCTTTACATTTTAGAAGTTAGAATAAAAAAAAACCACATTTCAGTCTTTCTCGAGAGAAGTCTTCATTGGTTCGGTGGTTTTGAAGTTGATGCTATCCTGGTAAGCTTGCATGAACATTTTTTTTCTTGTCGTTGTCTTCAAATGTGGCTCGATCAATGTCCCCAGAATAGCCATTATTGAATTCTTACTTCTTCCAAGTACTTGGTTAGCTCCATGGTGAAGCATGCTCCTTGTTGCTCCATATAGGCCTTGTCTACTCGTACCATCTCTTATGTTAGTAAGAATTCTTAATTCTTATGTTCTTACATTCTTATCTATACGTGAAGATCATTAAATTTTGTTTAATTCAGATTAATGTGATTGAAAAAAAAAAATCCAAGATCATTAAATTTTAACATTTTTCATCAAAAATGTTATCATGGTGAAAATGAATGATCACAGATTCCATGATATATATGATCTAATAAATTGATATGCTCGTATATATTCAAGTTTTATTGCTATGTTAGTAAAAATGGTCCTAGAAGAGATTTATCTATTACAAATGGAGAATCATGTGATAGTGAATGGTCTTGTTTATTGTGAACAACATGATAGAAAAACTTTTGTTGTAACCTTTTTTTTAAAAAGTATTGGTTAGTGGCTATAGAAATTGTCTATAGTAAATAAAAGTTTTGTAGATTAGACACAATTTTGTATGAAAAAAGTAGAGATTATATATGGATTATGCACTTGATATATTTAAACAAAATAAAGTTATAGAAAAAGCCACTCAATAACATCTTACAAAAAAACTAAAACCTCCACGGCCTAGAGAAAATATTCACTTTAGACTATGGCCTTGAATGGAGCTGCAGAAAAAGGCAGTTGGTACTTGGTATACATAATGGGAGAACTGCATCTTTTTTTCCATTCACAAGTACTATACATCTAAATGATTTTTTCTTAAACACAAAAAAAAAATTGAAAATGGACTGCCAACAGATCAAATTTACAAAGGAAAAGTTCTGTTTTGCTTCAATTTTTATGCGTACCATATACTCTAAGGCTCCGAATGGAGAAAGCATATCGAGCAGTGCAGATCAAGCGGTTCAAGCAGATCAAGCGGTTCAAGCAGATCAAGCAGAACAAAAGCGAATCAAGCAAATTTGGCGGTACAAGTGCAGATCAAGTGGTTCGAACGCTACAAAGTATATATTGAATGGTGAAAACAAATCAAATAGGTGTAAATTTAAAAATAATTGACTTTATTGAATTTTTTTATATATGAAAATCATAATAATGATGAGAAATTACCTTATTTTGAATTTTATATTGTAAATTTGTAAACATCTAATGTTATTAATTCAAGAGAATTTAATGCATTAAACTAAAATTAATATTTACAACATATAATATAATAACATTATACATATGTGGTGTATAATAATCATGAAAATAAAATTAATTAAGTGCAATATTTGTCATGCATTAAATTAGTAAACTATGATAAATAAACAAAAAAAACCATTAAGAAAATATTTATAAGAAAACTTAGAATAGTGGAGCAAAAATATATTTAAACTTATAATTATAAGAAAACTTTGAATATTTTATTATAATAACTTTGTGAACAGTATATATTAATTTTATGAATTTTAAGTTGTTTTATTTAGATTTTTAACAAATAATTTTTAGAGTGGTATATTAAAATATATATTTATGTGTTTTATTATTACTACAATATTTATTAATAAAATATTAAATAAAAAGGCAGATCAAACATGATATGCATAAAAAATGAAGCGTTCAACTGTTGTAAGCAGAACATAATTTTTTCTTTGTAAATTTAATCTGCATGCAGATCATATTTATTTATTTATTATTTTTTAAGAAAAATTGTTTAAATATAAAATACTCGTGAATGGAGGTAAAAAAAACAGTTCTCTCGTTATGCGTATCACCTGCTTTTTTTCTGCCACGCTATTCAAGGCCTAAATATAAATAGTAATCCAAAACATAAAAAAAAATTCTACAACTTTAAAAATTATTGTATTTTTGAAAAATTAAAACTTGCGATTTTTTTGAAAAAAAAAGTTATTTTATTTAAAATATATATAGATATATATATATATATATAAATATATGGTATAGGAAATTTGTCATATTGTATGTATATTTTCATTTTCCGAAATCGGTTTAAATCAACCGAAATTTCCGGTTTTAAAAACAAAACCGGTTTTGAAATTTGAGACGAACTTCTCGTATCAATCGGCCTCATAAACGAAAACTTCTCATATCAAATTAACCGGTTCTAGAAACACTTCACAGAACACCTCGATCTCATCGAAGCTCCTCCTCTCTCTCTTACATATCACTTCACATCAACCAAACCTACTCCTGTCTCTCTCTCTCTCTCCCTCTCCCTCTCTCGCTCTATCTCTCAGGTATGTTCCTCTCTCTCTCTCTCTCTTGTTCTTCATTTGTTCTGTAATGAAAAATGCAGATGTGTTTTGGGGTTTCTGAGGGAGCTTTATATATCTCTGTTTATTGAGTATTCTCTGATGTTGGGCTGTGAAAAAAATCGAAACTTTTGCAATTTCGTGATTTGGTTTTGTTCTTGTCTCTGTTCTCTGTATTGATCTCATTCTTAATTCTATCCTTGTATATGAGAAAATGTGAACTTTGTTTTGTGTGTTCTAATCAAATCATTAGAAAAACAATGCAGATGGGTTTTTGAGATCTTTTTCATATCTTTAGATTGAGATGTCTTTGATCTTGTTCTGTAAATTTCGAAACTTTGGATTCTTATGAGGTTCAGGTAGTGAACTCTTGCTTTAGGTTTGATCTGATTCTTGAATTTTGGTATTGGATTGTGTATTGAATTGTAACTTATACATTAGAAAGAAATGCTCATTGGTCTTTCTTACAGTGGTTTAGGTTCTTGACTTTGTTGTTTTAAACACTTGTTGCATAGGAAAAATTAGAAAACTTGTGAGAATGGCGGCAACAGCAGCATCAAGCTTGCAAATTGCTACAAGAAGGCCGAGCATTGCTTCGCCTTGTCATGTTCTTAAAGCCGGGACTTACATTGTCGGTGCCAATCCTGGAAACGCGTCGTGGGATAAACTTAGCTGCACTCGCCATTTATCGAACCTTGGATGTTTGAGAAGCCACAGTGCTGTTGTTGTTCCAACTTCTAAAAGACCCTTTTGTTTTTCCACAAAGGCCATGTCTGAGTCCAGTGACAATAAGGCTCCTGCTGGTCTTCCTATTGATTTGAGAGGTTGGCATCTCTGTCTTTTGTAGTGATCTTAGCATTACTATGTTATTTAGATACTATTACAAGCCCTGTGACAGATATTAGAACTAAGCAAGTTTAAATGGTACAGGGAAAAGAGCTTTCATTGCTGGTATAGCTGATGATAATGGATACGGTTGGGCCATAGCGAAATCTCTTGCTGCTGCTGGAGCTGAAATATTGGTTGGGACATGGGTTCCTGTAAGTGATCCTTTTGTAGTCTATCGCTTTTTTGTTTTGCTATATTGCTAACTATACTAACCTTTGAGTGGTATACTAGGCACTTAATATTTTTGAGACAAGCTTGAGACGTGGAAAGTTCGACCAGTCACGAGTGTAAGGACTTACAAATTTGTGTGAAGACATGCATATTTGATATAATGGGATATTAAGTTTTCATCTATTTATATTCAGGTTGCCAGATGGGTCTCTGATGGAGATTAAAAAGGTTTATGCTTTGGATGCTGTCTTTGACAATCCTGAAGATGTTCCTGAAGATGTAAGGGGATTAAGTGCATAGCTTTCTCATCATATGGAGCTGTTAATTATTAGTATTACTTATTAATTATCCTTACTGTATGATTTATTTTCAGGTGAAAACGAATAAGCGATATGCAGGATCATCTAACTGGACCGTACAGGTATAGATTAGAGTTACATTCTAAACATGCTAGCAATGTTTTACTCATTAGTGGTTGTGGCTTGTTACCTCATCTCGTTGTTGATTTACATCAGGAAGCTGCTGAATGTGTGAAAAACGATTTTGGAAGCATCGACATTCTTGTGCATTCCCTTGCAAATGGGCCAGAGGTAGAGAACTTACACGTTCTTATTGATTATGGACTATAGTAACTTCATTATGTACAACTTTTTTTCCTAATGATTGCACATTTGGTTTAGGTTAGCAAACCTCTTCTGGAGACATCAAGGAAAGGCTATCTCGCTGCTATCTCTGCTTCAAGTTACTCCTTTGTTTCCTTGCTGAGGCATTTTCTGCCAATCATGAACCCAGGTACGTAACAAACTTTGTATGGCTCTCGTTCTTTATAATCATGTCTTCTAATTTGTTTCTCTATGATTATTCAGGAGGTGCTTCGATATCTCTTACTTACATTGCCTCTGAAAGGATCATTCCTGGGTAAGGGTTATACTGAACTTTACTGCTTCTTTATATACTATTCAAGAAAACAAACTAATGCACACACACAACAATGACCACGCATTCTCGTGTACACTGAGTTTGATTTCTCAGAGGCTCACAAGTATCTGTTCCATTATGTGCAGGTATGGTGGAGGTATGAGTTCTGCGAAAGCCGCACTAGAGAGTGACACACGAGTAAGTTTGCAATTCTGTTTAAAATTGTATTCATAAACTAGAAGTATATATATATATCTCTTAGTCCAAACTGCGTGTTCAACATAGGTGCTTGCATATGAAGCTGGAAGGAAACAAAACGTTAGAGTCAACACTATCTCTGCGGGTAATTCATCTTTTCGCTCTTGCAAACCTAGTCATACGAAATTTTCAGGCGCTGTGATAATAACAGAACACTACTGTTTGGTTTTCAAGGTCCTTTGGGAAGCCGAGCAGCAAAAGCAATCGGGTTCATAGACACCATGATCGAGTACTCCTACAATAATGGACCTATACAGAAAACACTGACAGCAGGTTCGTTTCCTTCAACCCGACATACCTCTTGAGCATTTTAAAACTTGTTTTCTTACGGTTTATAAATGGCAATGATGCAGATGAAGTCGGGAATGCAGCAGCGTTCTTGGCGTCACCACTGGCCTCTGCAATTACAGGTGCAACCATCTATGTGGACAATGGTTTGAATGCAATGGGAGTTGCACTGGACAGTCCTGTTTTTAAAGACCTCAACAGCAAGAATTAGTGTCTTGACTCTTGATAAGACGACTGAACTCGACAAATTCTATTCCATGAGCTTGCTTGTTTGTCTTTATGAGTAGTATGTACGGCATAGTATTTTGAATATGGCATCCAATTTCCTGATAAAAATTTGACTATTTTTATTAGATTCATTTTGTTTGTTACTAAGAATTGGATAAATATGAGCTACACATAGAATGGCCGATGAAGTTTGGGGTATTTAGAATGCGTAAACACATAGAATCTTACAATAAAAACATGAATTCCAATAATTATGTTAAAAAAAAAAATTACAAATGAGAATATATCAACGTTATACATGTATATAAAAGTCATCTGTTTATCTTGGTGTTTTCGATTAAGAAAGTTTTTTAACGAAAGAATTGGGGATACGTTAATAAGATAAAAATCACAATCCGATGTTTTTATTTTATTTTATTTTTTAATTTTTAAAAATTATTTATTAATATCTTAAAAATTATTTATTAATATCTTAGTTAGTTAGTTAGTTAGTTTGTTTGTAGTATTAGATTTCATTATTTGTCGTATGATCATGCTTGTGTTGATTCGTTTATACTTTCTTTTTGTGTTTGTATATTAACGTATTATCGTTTGAATTATAAACAATATTTGGTCTAATCTGGATATAAAAATAGTTTTTGAAAGATTATCAATTAAGATATTGAAAAATAATTCGAAAACTAAAAAACATAAATAAATGATAGTGAAATGATAGTGAATACTCAGTTTTTCCTTCAGTCTAGGGATCCCATATTTGGGTTTCATGTTGTTTTAATAGGCCTATTTTGTAAAATATTAGGCCTGTCACATTTGGCTTTGTGATATGAGACTTTTCGTTATGAATAAAAGTGATAGTGAAATGACAAGATAATATGTGTGTGGGTTTTGTACATTTTTATAGTTATTTAATTTATAAGGTTTTATATGTAAGATATTTATAAGGTGTTACTCTGAAATGTTTATACGCTTTTATAACACATTAACTTTGGTATGTCTCAGATTTTTAAGATATTTTGACACAAAAAATTAGGAGAGGGCATGTTTGAAAGGAGATATTTTGAAAGAGTTATTTCTCAAAAATTTCTTAAAATTAGTTTCAAAATTTTTAAATTAATTTTATTTTGTCATATTTTGTAATTATATATTACCAAAACTAATCTATAAAAAGTATTCGTATATAAATTTTACTTTTTCTTTCTTATTTAAGTTTTTAAAGAAATGATGCATAAAATAAAAATGATGCTAACAATATATAATTGGCTTAGGAAACACATCCCACAATCTAATTCACCAGAAACACTAGAGTTTCTTTATCCCCGTTATGCGACCCTTTAAGATCTTCTTAAAGAGATGGATGACTCGAAAGGGTATTATTTTATATATTTGAAGTCTCAGCCAATTTGGAATAAAATATCAATAGAACTTTCTACTCTTTTATACACACTCTTCGTGTCTATCTAACACTTGTAATGTATTGTAACACACAAAAGCACATATGCTTCAGAGAAAGTACCTTGTTCTACATAGAATTTTTTCTTTCGATTCAAGATGGCTATGGTTGGAAAAAATTAGGAATTTTTACCTCTAATTATAAGAACATTTGTATTACATAAAATCACAACTAAAATGTTATAATATGATGATGACAAAAAATGTTATAATATATTTTGCATACTACATGTCAATATATAACTATTTCAATGATTATAAAAGTTAAAACAATCAATACAAACATACCAGCGCGTAGAGCGGGTTAATACGCGCTGGTTAATAACCTAGTTATTATCTTAAAAGATCTAGGGTCCATTTTTATTATATATATTTAAGTGTATTGAGTTTTTATATATATATATAAAAGTTGAAGATTGTAACTCAAACCTTGTGGATTAATTATTAAATATTATTGACAATTCTAATTTTGGTGCATTTACATAATCTTTTTTTTTTTAGTATTCACATGAAAGATTACGTAATTTATTATTTTATCTATGTGAAAAATTGGATATTATGAAGAGATTAAGTGGATTGATTATTGAGGAAATTTCAAAAATACATATTTTCAAATAGAGAAATTATTACTAATAATCTTTTTATGATACTCTCTTGCAAAGTTACCTTTTTTTTTCTCCCATTTTCATTTTTGCCCTCTCTTAAATTTTAATGGTCATTTTACTACCTAGTTGAAAGAATATTCTTTCCCAAATGAAGGAATATTCCTTCCAAAAATTTTCTCTCCAAAAATTTCACGCCAAAAACTTTCCCTCCAAAAAAATATCCGAGAAAAATTTTCCCACAAAAAAAAATGTTTACAAAATTTTTCCGCCAAATTTTTTTAAAAGATTTGCAAAGATTTTTAAAGGGTCTTTTAAAGGTTTTACAAGGGTTTTAAAGAGATTTACAAGAGTTTTTAAATGGTTTTTAAAATATTTGTAATGGTTTTTAAAGGCTTTTAGAAGCTTACGATTTATTTTTTTGGCGATTATATGACATGACGGGATATAACATGGGACATGTTGTAATATGCTTCCAACAAATTATATGACGGGACGGGTTGTAAGACGGAACAAGTTTAAATTGATGTTACTAAAAATTTCTAATATTATGAATCTCACTGTTCGATTCGGGTTATTTTACTATTTTTTAATAACACCGAGATAAAACATGTATAATTAAACTGATTTAGAAAAATTTGATACTATGCAAAATCTTGATAATTATTAAATAAACTCCAACAAAATCTATCATTTAAAAAAAATATGAATTACAAAGAAAATGTTTACATGTTAAAATCTAGTTTGTCATATTTAAATAAATGTATTTTTGAAATTGGATAGATAAGAGGGGTATTTCTGAAAAGGGATACACCAAAAATGTATTTCTCTAAAATGCTCTTGATTATTTTTTCTTTAATTGGTAATTAGCTTATACATTGAAGAAGCTTATACATTGAAGAAGCTCATCTGAGGACTGAGGTCATTATGAAAAGGGTATTATTAAAAGACTTTACAAGTTAATCTTGAACTAAACTTATTTTGACAATTAAATTTTTTATTTATTTATTTATGAGAAGGTAACCCATAAACCAAAAATATATATTTCATTCCTCCACTCAGAAGCCAAACAAACTGGTTCCCTCCTAAAATTTTAGATAACCAGTTCCCCTCTTGGGTTAGAGCTTAAGACCTAACACTGGTTTCTGTTAGTTTGTGTAATAGAAGTTCTTAGTTAGGTCATTCCACTTAGCCGAGTCTCTCTTCACTTGGGGTTTTGACTATTTTGAACTGTGGAGTTTTTTTGGATCTTTGCTGGTCCTTCCTGCCATTGTTTGAGCAAATTTGGCTGCCAAAAACACATCCTGAACAACCTCCTAGTTCTTCTTACCCTGCAAAGCTTAAAAGAAGATAATTCAACAATTAAGGCAACACTTCCTTATCAATATTGAAACAACAAGCACTAGATGAAATCTTTTAACTCAAACATAAGAACTTCAAAGTCCTCAAATAACTACCCCTATTTGATCCTAAAATGACCCTGAAAGTGTGCTATGCGGATCAATATGTTCACAATGGTCAATTTGTTCCTAGGAGTAGCTATGCGGATCTTTAATCTAACGAACTGAATATCCTGGACCTTGCAGATGAATTATTTTGGATACATTCTTAGAAGTTATACTGAATTGTGATCTCTGGCAGTAGTATAGCCTGAACAAGAGATTAGAAATTGACACAACAAGCATCAGAATCATGCAGGATGAGAACTTGCTAACTAAGAGTGATATAAACATATAACATTATTTTGCAATTACACTTTACTCTAATTTTCAAAATCGAATTGTGATCTAGTGAATCTACCAGAGCATTGAAAGGATTGTGAGCAGATGCTTACTGTGAGGTTTTGTCTGTTTCTCTGCTCCGGTTGTAGCTACGCCAAACATGTGCAGAGAATGTATGGTGAGACAAAAGCCAATGCAGAGAGATATTGTATAGAAAGCCTAGCAGGCAGCCACATTTGCTTTTATCGTCTCTAGAGGTGCCACATCATTACTCTGGGCTTTACGTGCTATCTGGTTTAGGTGATAGGCCTCCTCTGCCATTCCAGCCTTAAGAAGACAAGATAACAAAGAATTTACTGTAATCTTATCCGGTGAACAACCTATTGCCACCATTTTGTGGAAAATACTGACTGCTTCAAACATCCTTCCTTTCATGCAATGCCCAATTATAAGAATCGTAAATGTGATCTTATCTGGTTTGCATTTCTTCTTCTCCATCTCTTCCACAATAACATTTGCTTCATTGACCTTTCCAGCTTTACAAAACCCATCAATGACAGGGTTGTACATAAATGGTTTCGTGATAATGTCCTTACTAGCTAACTGCCCCAAAAGTTCACGAGCCTTGAGCAGACTATTCTCTTTACAGAGTGCATTGATAAGAATAGAATATGTAAATTCATTAGGTAACATTCCTTTGGCATTCATCTCTTCCCAAAGTCTAAACCCTTGGTTCACTTGTCCTGCTCTACAGTACCCATCAATTAAGGAAGTGAATGTCACAACGTCCGGGAAACAGCCGAAAGAAATCATTTTCCCACGAATGTCTTCAGCAGATGTCATCTCACCAGCTTTTGCATAACCATCCACGAGAACATTAAAAGTTATAGTAGTTGGGTATATTCCCAACCCAAGCATGTCATCTAACAAAAGATACGCTTCTTGCATCTTTCCAGCTTTGCAATACCCTGAAATCATCGATGTATACGTAACAACATCCGGAGAACAACCACTGCTCGACTTAACATCGTTTAACATCTCATTCGCTTTAGCTAACTCATTACTCTTACAAAACCCCTTAATAAGAGTATTATACGTAACAATATCAGGAGAACAACCAAAACCACTCATCTCACCCAACAGCTCCAACGCTTTCTCTCCTTTTCCTACGCTACACAAACCCCGAATCAAAATGTTAAACGTCTTAGTATCATTACAGCACTGAAACCTCAAATGTTTATCAAACAACTTCATCGCATCATCCACACGATCCAACTTCACTAAAGTATTCAACAAACTATTCACCACCATACAACACCTTTCAACCTCATAAGACTGAAGAAGCAATGCAGTAGCAAACTGAAGCTTACCCTTTTCAGCAAAAGAAGACACCAAGAAACCTAATAACCGACTATTCGGAGAAACGCCATCACTCCTCATACACTCAAACATCTGACCAGCTAAATCATGCATACCGGCTTTACAAAGCGACCTAGTGAGTACATTATAAGTCCAAAACGAGTGACGAATGTTCAATTTGAATCTACTAAACTCCCAAAACCGAAACCCTAAGTGAGGATGATTGTTATCCAATTTCTTCACAACCTCAAATGCGATAAACGGATTCAGATTCTTACTCAAGTAACAGAAACAAAGATCTGAATCTGGAACTCTGTATACGAACAGAGTAGATACGATTTTGATTAACCAAGCTTCAGGGCAATGCATCACTTCGCGTTTGTTGCTATGTAGAGGACGAGCTTGAGCTCCTCCATGAGAATGCGTGTGGAAATGAGCTATGGCGGTTGCGAAGGTTGTTCTTATCATCACGGCGTGGCGGCGAGTGTGGTTTTGGAGGAGGAGCTAGGGCTTGTTTTGGTCAACCTCATCTGTGTTTTTTGTTTTTTTTTTTCAGATCAAATTTGTGTGAGACTGAAACCAGTACGGAGGAATCTTTAGGACCTTCTCGGAGAGGTAGAGGCGTTTGAAACCCACTAGATGAGTTAGAGAATTTTGACCTTAAGGGTAAGACCAAACGAACCGAACCGAACCGAACCGATTCGAACTAAACCGGAATTCGAACTAAACCGGATTGGGACTGAATTTTCCGAAAATAACAGTTCAGCCGAAATAACAGTTTCATTTTAAACAATGTTTAAGATTACCCCAAAAAAAATAAAAAATATATAATTTACTCGTTTTGCATAAAAATACTATTAAACAAAAAAAAATTCAACCAATAACAATATTTATGAAAATATGAATGGTAAAAAATATTTTGAGAAATACCCTCAAATATCACTAAATCAAGTATTATAAACAATTATAGCACACATTCCACAAATTTTCATATATAGTACTAATTACCATGATCTTTTTTTTGTTTAATTTTTAGATTTTTTATAGTGTTTGGGTTGACTATTTTACATCTAGTATATAGTTTTGAGGAGATATGGTTCATTTTTTGGAGTTTATGATGTAATTTTGAAATTTAATCATGAAATATAGTCCTATAGTTGAAATTTTATAGAGTGTGTGCTAATTTTGGAAACAAAACTTGTTTAAGTCTTGTTTTTTTTGGTTGAAAGATAATTATATTGAATTTAAACGATTCAAATACAATTTGTTACATCATAGTAGAAAACATAATTAATACAACCAAATTTTGCCAATCTATGGGAGGCTTCATTACAAATACAAGGTATAAATAAGAAATTAATATCATAAAACTTTGAAGACCAAAATCTTATACAATATCTTAAAGTAAACCTTTCATCGATACATCTTGAATGGAGCCTTTAATAATCTTATTGAGCACTTGACAATCCCCTTCAAAAATCATTGAGGTAAAACCTTTAAACCATATTTGTTGCATAGCATGAAGAAGTGCTTTTGATTGTGCCTCCAAAAATGAATGAGCATACCCGAACTGCGCAGAGCCCCAAAATTTTGCTTCTCCTAAATGATCATGAACAATCCATCCTCTAGTGACTTGACTAGTCAAGTTATCGAAACCAGCATATAGTTGCATTTTAATCTATTATAATCCGGTTGAAACCATGAAGAAACTTCTTGTGGTCGTGGAAACGATGTCCTTTGAGAAAAAATATGAACATGTAATCATTCTTCTATTTCAGCTTTTCCCTTGTTTGAGTCTATTAACTAGAGTTGCCCTTTAATTTTGCATACAAAGTTCAAAACAACACTTAAAATTAAACATTGTCTTTTTGCTAAAACATTACTTAAAGTGACACAGAGATACTACTTATGGTTTGAATGGTGACAACGGTTCAAGCGGACAAAACCCTAGATTGAATGGACCACTTTTTATTTACCATTTATTAATTATGGCTCGTTGTGCTGTGGATCCAAAAAACTAAAATAAAACATTAGCGAACCAACTACATACTATTTTTACATACAAATAAAAGATGTCCGCAACGGTTTATAGTCCACGCTAAAAATAAAATGGTCTAATGCGCTGATAAATTTGTCCATTTTAACTAGAGAATTTTTGATAAATACCCCTTTTGGTGTACCTCTTTTTAAAAATACCCCTTTTATCTATCCATTTTCAAAAATACCCCTTTTTAAAAATACACCATTTATCTATCCATTTTCAAAAATACTCCTTTTTAAATAAAAAAAATTATAAAGTTTTATATAGTTTATAAGGTAAAACTATATAATAACTACTACTGGGAGATTCGATACAAATATTTTAAAATGTTTTAAATAGTTTTAAATAGTTTTTATAAGTTTTATAAGGTTTTTAAAAGATTTTTAAAAGGGTTTATACGGTTTTTAAAAGGTTTTTATAAGGTTTATAATTTATTTTTACGCTATTTATGAAAAGTGTATAAAGTTTTAAACACATATAAAGGTATTTTGTGTATATATTTATAAGATTACACACATATTTAGATAAATTTCAACATTTTTAGTGGGTTTTTTGATAAAGTTTGAAAATGGAGTATTTTTAGAAAGAGGTATATGAAAAGGGGTATTTTTGAAATTCCCCCGTTTAACTATCGTAACCATTCAAATCCTTAATTAAATATAATAATAAATACAATTAAATATAAAACCTGTAATATTAATTTAATTAGTTATTATTTTTCTGGTTCAGTATTAAACCAAATTTGTACTAGGACCAAACTGGTCCGAATGAAATCTTCATCTAAAATTCAAAAAATTCGAGATCCGGTTAACCGAACCAAACCCGAACAACTAAACTCTCTGGTCTTTCATTTTGTTTGTTTTATTTTCTCTGTTTAATCTGACAGAAGCAAATAAAAAAATATGTTTCCGGCCGGAAAATTTGGTCTTCATCCTCGACATCTCCGATCAAAATTTCATACTTTTATACGTTTGACATAATCATAGATCGAGTCAATTAGTCTGATCCTAGAAAATTTAAGAACTTTTTCACAAATTCAGTATCGAAGATGTCAACAGAGAGACGTGCTTCGTCTAATCCAATGACCAACGAAGAGAACGCTATGTAATGTTCTTACACTTATCTTCTTTAAATTTGATTCAAGCTTAGTTTTTTGATTTGGGTTCTTCATTTTTTCATACAAATCCGTATAAAGACACAACCTTTATTTAGTTTCTTGTTTTGATAAACCAAAAAAGTTGATACTTTTTGCAATTTCATGTTCTTTTTGTAGGTTCCTTGATATATTGCATGAAGCACCATTGTTTGGTCATAGGAAATCTAGAAGCCTTGTTGGGAGTTATCTCTATATAGTTCTATTGGCAAGTTACTCTGATTCTTTTGGTTAAGTTCATAAGGCTGATCTCATACTTATTAGTGTTGCCTTTTGATAGTTTTTGTCTTTTAACATTAGGCAGGTTATGCTGTTTTAGCTGCAGGAGCTCCTTGGATATTTCACCAAGTTCAGAACTTGACTCCTTCTTTGCTCTGCTGCTGCGATGTTGCCCTTTTGGTTGTCACAGGTTTTTGAAATAAATTTGGTTTAACTAGTGTTTCGAGCTATGTCTGTTAGTGATAAGTTCAGGTCCTGTATCTTGATGAACAGTCAAAAAGATCCTTCCTTTGGCTAATCTTCTTGATTACAATGGAGATTTGTTGAAGAGAACTCTCCCAAGCCAAGAAGCTTTCCACAACCAACCCAATAGATTCCACCTTCTTCTTAGACCTAACTCCGCCCATTCGATACTCTAGGTTGTTAGTTAAATGAGCTTGAAAGTCTCTGTTACTATTTTAAGTATCTATAGAAGAACATAAGTCTTGCTCTTATTCTCTACTCTTATTAGTTTGAATTTTTGATGTTGTAAACCTCTATTTGCCTCTTGGTTATCGTTTTGTTGTTGTTCGAGAGAATGGGAATGGTTGGGCGCTAGCTAACATTGATAATATGTGTCAATAAGCATATGCATACACGTAGTACAACATCAATATGTCTCCCCCTCCCTTTTGTTGGCATTCCTAAGTTAATTTTTCTGTGGCGTATCTCAGGTATCTTTCAACAATACTTTGTTTATCAAGTCCAGAAAATACGTCTCCAGGTACCAAACCTCAGATAGGTTTATTGAAATTTCGTGAACTTATGAGAATTGTTTGAGTGATGTCAAAATTTCTTCTGTTTTAGTAAAAGACTGATTAATTTTGAGAATTGTCTGCACTGCAGGGTTATTACAGTTTCAGTCAAAAGCTAAAGCATGTTGTACGTCTACCGTTTGCAATCGCTGCATATGGTATTTCCCTACCAATGCTATTATTTTCTCTACTATCTAAAGTGTCTGTGAGTTATGTTAATTCATGAGAATGAACATATGTAGACTTGCACTTGGGATCAAAGATCTAGAAAATACAAACTTAATCAAGGTCTTTTGTCACTATATATAGGAAATGAAAATTTTAGTACTATTTACCATATTAGTTTATCTGAAGATATGTTCAAGATTTTTCATGGAAACTCTGATTTTACCAAACTTGTTCCTCGCTGATCTTACCTTGTTTACGAGTTATTTTGAGACCACTTGGTATTGTCTCGTTTATAATTAGTTCCTTTGATGTTATGCCAGGGACCGCTGCGATGCTTCTTGTGATAGTATGGAAGCCTTATATCCGCATTCTTTCTATTTCTTCTTTGCAACGGTTGGTAGCTCATTGTTCCCACATTGAGTATATTATTGGAACTTACCTGTATTGCATTGAGTGTTGTTAATTAGTTTGAATAAGTGCTATCTATACCCTTAAAGCTTATAGTTATGATTATTTTCTATAATTCCACAATAGCAATTATGAAACAAGAGCAGTTCTTGATAGGGTGGAGGAAAACTATTTTCACCATGATGTTTTAATGAATATATATGATTTGCAGCATAATCATGTTGGTTGAAGCAGTGTGCGCTGGCTTCTTCATGGGTTTATACATCGGTCAGTGGCTTGTTATCCTATATTGTCAATACTTTTATATAAACCAGAATGTTACTAAGCTGTTGACGTTACATGTTTGTGTAAAATGTAAATGTGTATAGGCCGAATCAGGACACTTTCTTACAATCTCATATGTTAATGTGGAACTGAATTGATCTTATCATCACTTTGAGAGGCCAGTAGTTTGACATTGATAAATGCTGTCGAATCCAGGTTATGTGCACCAATACAACTCCGTTAATTCTCGACCAGATGTATTGAAGTCATTATATTCTCCTCTTCAGCCGTCAAGTTCGATGGAAGGTTTGAGGTATTGACTGTCTTTGATGTATCTGATTTTAAATATATGTTCTGCTTCAGCCAATAATGCACAAGTTTGTTTCTTCTTTCTTTGTATTGGTATGAAAGGTATTACGAAGGCCGGCTTTCTGATCAACAAATGGCTTTATTACAATATCAGCGTGAAAACCTCCATTTTCTAAGCGAAGAGGTACGTGATGCTACAAATACAAACACTCTCTTTCATCGACATTGCTAAATTTTCTTTGGACTTTGCTGTTTTAAGAGACAGCTTTTGTATAATAGTTTTTCTTGTCTTTTGTTATTGGTGCTTTTCAAAGATTCTGTCCTTGCAAGAGAAATTAAGCAAATATGAACAATCTAGTGATGGAAGCACACCTCAGGTGAGGGTTGGCTTTTGCTTTCTTTAAAACAATCAAATACCTTAATTCCTCATTGGTATAGTTAAATGTATAATGATTCTTGGTAGGTTGATCTCGCACATCTTCTAGCTGCTCGAGATCAAGAGCTGAGGACACTTTCAGCTGAGGTAATACTTGATTTTGAATCTTCATCTCTCTCTCTATATGATGAAACAAAAAAGGTCTAACAATGTGAATATTGTTTTGCAGATGAATCAGCTTCAGTCTGAGCTACGGCTGGCTCGTTCTTTAATAGCAGAGAGAGATGCAGAGGTGAAGCGTGTCAGCAATACCAACAATCAGGTTTTCGCAAAAACCCGGTATTGTAGTGAAAATCCTTAAAAGACTTATTTAAAACTTCTAAGTTTGTTTGTGTGTGGTGTAGTATATTGAAGAAAACGAAAGGCTAAGAGCAATTTTGAGTGAATGGAGCATGCGAGCAGCAAATGTAAAAGTCCTAAAGAAACAACCTTTTGGTCTATTGTAGTGTACAAATTTGATATCTGAATCTGTTTTTGCTTCTAATATCAGCTTGAGAGAGCTTTAGAAGTGGAGCGGATGTCGAACTCGGAGCTGCAGAAGGAAGTAGCAGGGGAGCGTAAGAAGCAGATGCATGAGACAAGAACATCATCTGAGCAACCTTAATTGTAAAATGTGAATCAAAGCTAGGTCTTAACATATCTCAGGAGTTTGATTGTGTAACTAAAAAGATCATGGAATCTCTATATAGTTGAAAGAAGTTTGTATATGCTTTTCTTTGTTCATTTCTTTTTAGAATTAGCTTTGTTTTGGTTGTGAAGTAAAGTGTTTTGCAGCAGCAAAAGAGCTCTTGCTTAAATTGTTACCATTGTCTTTCTTTTCGTTTTCATCACCATTAACAAACTCTGATTCATCAAGAGAAAGATCCTCAAACTCAAGTCTCCCAAGATTTATGTCATCCAAAGAATCAAACTGGTCACCGCCAACATCCCACATAGATCACAAATACTAAATCTTGTTCTTTTTTGTTGCAGAATGTATGAATTTGTAAGTGCTCCAATTCCTTTCGCAACATGATGATGAAGAAGGTTGTCCAAGTAACTTAATATGCTATGGCTTGAAGCTTTGGTGATGAAGCTCCATCAACAGCCCACCAATTAAAAGGTTCTAGGATGAACGTACCATGCATTGCATCAACACTACCAAAACCTTCCAAGCATAAGGAGAAATTGGAGCATTCGATATTAACCTCTCTCCTTTCATCATGTTCTGAAAAATATTTCATGATGCAATTTCTTCTTTTCCTAGTAACCTCCAAATCTTGATGTGGAGCTTTTCTAATGTTCTATTCTCTAAGACACTCTGAACTACAATATCTCCTAAGTGAAAGATAATGCTTTGTAATCATCCCATTTATGACTAATCACTATTTGTAGTTGCAATCCAATTTTTATCTTTTTGAATCTCTTAAACATTACAACTGTGAAGTGGATGCAAAACTGTGTAAAGAAAAATTGATAATATCTTTTATATTATAATTTAAGCATATAAGTAAAGATTTACCATGAATGTAAAATTGTATTCAACCAAAGAACTTTAATATAATGAATGCTTCAGTTTCTATTAGTACATTGAGACGTTGATCATGTAGTATGATCCCCTAGATCTCTGATTGAACTGATGCGATTTCAAATGTGTTTATCAATGATTTAAAATGAGTGTACAAACTTTTACACAATTCGAAGCGTTTGGTGACTACTTGAACCACATTTGCATGGTTACCTCCTTTATACATTCTATGATCTCACCAAATTTTGTTTCACCTTGACTATTAATCGCCCTTAATGTCATTGGACCACTCCCATTTGCAGCAACTAAGAGATACCTATATTGCTCTTCTTTGTGAACCTGACCAACCAACACTACATATACTAACTCCTTTTTCAAAACTCCGCGATCATCAACTTAGTGCACTAAGGCTTTTTGTCTCCTCTCTTTGCAATCATCAAGTAAGTTTTTTTTTCTTTTCATGTTAGCTCTTTGTTGAGAATTAACCTAAGAGCATCCTTTGATTCCCTCTTGTAATAGATGAGTCACAACTCGACTAGTAGAGTTGTAAATCATCTCCTGCTAGCTTCTCATTTAAACCTCCTGCTAGCTTCTCAACCTTCTTCACATAAATCCATAAAGGCACTTTATCATCTACCACATTCAATGTTATATTTATATTTTCTTTGGTACAATGTTGGAGGATCTTGAGACGTAGATATGTGGTTCTTCCTAAGAAAGGGTGATAAGCTTATATGTATATGGCACTAAATTCCACTGGTGAATGTATTATAAATATGAAATCAACCAAAACTTGTCTTTGTGTTTATTACTTCTTCTGTTTGATGATGGAAAGTAATTAGCAATATGTGAGGTAATAATCTCGTCTTAATCCATGAAAGGGCCCTTGGCAAATCTTTAAAAATATAAAATCTCTTAATTTGTATTTTTTTTTTTGAAAAATATTGGACTCAAAAAGCTAAAGAAATTTTTTAAAAATAATATATGGACCCATGGCATTGGCCTACCTTGCCTATGCATGTCAATTAGGGCCAATGCCCGTGGGGTAACCCCGCCCGCTCTGAAAAATATAGGTTCGAGCTTAAAGGAGGTTATTAGTCATCGAGTTTAACGGATTTATAAATCTAAAGAAAAATCATATGTTATACAATCATTTATTTTAAAATAACTATTAAAATCATGTGTTATTGGGTTTATGATTTATAAATACTAGTTAATATCATTTTTTTATATCAAACACTAGTTAATATCCTATGTTATTCGTGTAGTGATTTTTTTTTGGATTTCAAAATACACATTATGTTTTAAATGAATTTGAAAGATTTGATAGTGTAAAACATGTTATTTCAAAATTCATGTGGTTGATTTTAATAATCAACAAGGATTAAAAAAATGTCATTTAAATCATGGAGAGAGAGCATTTTTGTTGATTTAAAGCATGAACTCTTCATTTGGTGAAACAAAGGTCCAATATATTGTTGACTTCTAATTAAATCATGAAGTTTTGTTGACTTGGCAGTATGAGACACGACGTTAAGTGACCAAACGGAAAAATAATACGTGGTAAATTAGCTCGTTAATGAGATTCGTCAATAACAAAACGACGACGTTGTAACCTAACTAAAACCCCCAAAATTGAAAATCAATTATCATAACCTTAAAACTTCAAAACTTCCTCTCTATTTTTCATAAATTTTCCTCAATTACTTCAATTTCTTCTCGATTTCTCTCGATTTGATAAAAGTGTGTTTTGTGTGATAGAAAGAAATCGAGAAAAAACAAAGTAATGGAAGAAAAAATCGTGAGAAACGGAGATGAGCATTTATGGGACCTTTGTCGAGGTTGTTATCTTAACCGTCTCCTCTGGTGCCTGGAGTACGCAAGTTGGGTCTTAGTGACTATGCTAGAACAAAATTATTGACTAATGAAATTGAAGCCAAAAAACATCACTTTTGCTTTGGAGAAAGTATGAACCTACTCATGTTTCCAAATCAACCAAGCAAATATAGAGAGAATTAGCCATACCTCTATGACCAGTTGATCCCAATGTAGTTATATTTTTCATTTGATTTTGTTAGGGATAAAGAAATATAGAGAGAATTAGCCATACTTTGACTAATATTGCTCTACTAAGTTGTTATGATGTATATTTACATAAAAAAAAATTCATTAATCTTACTTTATAGAAAACAAAATAGAAAATCAGATTATGATGCAACAAACAAAATAAAAATGCTTCAATACAATAATACATTGATACACACAACAACTTGACATACATTGAAAGATCAAACTCATAACCAAAAGACTCTTAACGTTTTCCGCACGTAACCAGAAAAACTAGCCATTCTGGTTTGTACCAGGGGCGGATCTAGAAAATTTGTTCAATGGGGGCAAAAATATAGTAAAATACTAAATTATAAAAGACATAAAATTTTCATGTAAAAACTTTAAAACATCTTACAAAACCACTCAGACGCTCATTTAACAATTGAAACCTTTTTACCACATTTTCATTTGTGACAGATTCAAATAATTAAAAACAAAAAAACATGTTATTAATTAAAAATTTAGAAAATTTTGAATTTATAGACTTATATTTTAAAATTTATTAATTTAAAATTTTTGAATTATGTAACAAATTTCCATAAAATCTTAACCATAGAATAAACATATAAACAATTATCACTGCAAAAACTAATATAGTCATGTATAACATAAAAACCTATATAATGTTTTCCAGGAAACATAGTTATAAGCTTGAACTGATTAAATAAAATTAATTGACTAAAAAATAATGCTTATATAATAGAAACGATTGTAAAAAAAGCAGGAAAATAAACTCACAAATTGATAGTTTTTGATTTGTTGTCACACAAAGAAACCAAAGGACTAAAAAGAAGAAAATAACAAAAAATTAGGTCTAGATTAGTAAGTCTTTAATTTATATATTAATATATATTTTTTTGCTACATGGATTAATGGGCTTTCCAAGAAAAAGGATGAAAAGTTGTTTTTTTGGTGGAGACAGATTTTATTTTCTAATAATATTTAATGATTTTTTAATAATTTTTTTTTTTGTTTTTTTGCTGGTGGCAGCTGCCCCCACTACCTTGGCTGTGGGTCCGCCCCTGGTTTGTACGAAGCAATGACTTGTGCTATTGCCAATCCAAGTAACATTCCAAGCCCATACCCTATTGCCACACCTTTCCAGTTCAACACTTGTTCCTCTTCTTCATCTTCTTCTTCTTCTTCTTCTTCTTTAGGCTGATGTGTTAATGGTGCATTAGTCCCAAAGCAACTTTCTTCAAGAGGAAAACCGCAAAGCCCTGCATTTTCTCCAAATGACGATTTTGGCTGCCCGGTTATCTGTGTTCCTTGTGGTATTTCACCAATGAGTTGGTTGTGAGAAACGTTCAAGTACGCCAAGAATGAGAGAGTCCCTAGTCCATTAGGAATAGTACCTGAGAGTTGGTTACTTGATAGGTCTAGTGACTCTAGCTTCATAGGATTGGCCAAAGATAGAGGAATATGGCCTGTGAAGGCGTTGTTCGATAAGTTGAGTGCGATTAGTGCCTTCAAGAAACCGATAGATTCAGGAATTTCTCCTTCAAGTCTATTTCCGGAAAAATCAATGGTGGCGGAGGATGTAAGGACCCTTTTTTGCTTCATAGACAGACCTTTATATTGTATATCTATTGTTTCTAGATAGGTAAGATAATATACCTCGTAAATAACCTTTTCATATACCATATATAGGCCCAAATCTTCATTCATCGTGAGTGATGATGCTTTCCAATTGATAAAAAAATTTGCGGGCAAGCTTCCGGTGAATTTATTGTCAGCTATATCAAGTATCCGCAATTGTGGAAAGCCTAAAGGACCTTGATTCGGAGGAGATATAGGACCATAGAATTTGTTTGAACCGAGGATAAGCACTTGCAGTTCTGGTAAAGTCTTAAGGGAGAAAGGAAATGTATCTTTGATTTTGTTGTGTTCCACATTTAGGTACTGTAGTGTTGAGCAATTTAGAAGAGACCTTGGAAGCTTTCCGGTTAAATGATTGTAGCCAACGTCGAGTGACCGTAGCGATGCGTCGACGGAATAGTACATGTCTGGAATACGTCCTTCCAAGTTGTTCTTCCGGAGTTTCAAAATCGATAAGTTACTGAGACATGGAGGAATTGGACCTGTCAAGTTGTTGTAGTTTAGATTAAGTAACACAAGTGAGCTTCTCTTGCAAATTGAAAGAGGTATGTCGCCTTTGAATCTATTATTTTCCGCATCGAAGTAGTTGATAGATAGTGGTAGATGGGGAAGTGCTCCTTCAATACTGTTTGAATCCAAATTTAAGATTTGCACCGATGAGTTTACTAAAACTTCTAATGAACCTTGGAAGCCAGTGAAAAAGTTGTCATCAATGGACACTGCGTTAAGACGAGGAAGGCTCCATAACCACTCTGGTATTTTCCCACTAATTCTATTGTGGGATACGGTAATATACTCCAAATTACGAAGTGTCTTTATGATGTTTGGGAAATCACTGATGTTGCAGTATTTCAAACGTAACGCTTCCAGGGTCGTCGGGATGTATGAATCCGAACTTAAACTAGCCTGAGATATCCAAACACCAGAAAGATCTAGGACCAACAAAGATTTGAAAGAGGAGAAGAGAGTTAAGTCAATTGGGTAGCTTGTTTTAAGGAAAGAAAGGTCGAGTGTTTTGAGATTTGAGGATGAAGAGGAGTTAGGAACTTCAATAGAACCATTGAGATTGTTAAAACCTAAATAAAGATATGATAAGAAAGGCATAGTGAAGAGAGAAGAAGGGATTGTTCCAGAGAAGTGATTACAATAAAGATTTAGCATGGAGAGCTTGGTTAGGTTTTGAACAAGTGGAAGAAAACTAGTGAAGTCGTTAAAGGCAAGGCGCAATTTGGTTAACTGGGTTAGGTTATTAATTGTGGAAGGAACTTGACCAAAGAAGCTATTAGAGGCTACAGACAAATACTCTAGTTTGTTGAGATTGCCAAATTCATAAGGGAGTGAAGAAGGGTTGAAGTTGTTGTGTGAGAGAGAAAGGTAACGAAGATGATGAAATTGGAAGAGGCTACTATTGGATTTAAGAGTTCTACTGAGACAGGCACTAAGTCGTATCTTCGTGACCGCGCCAGTGGAGTTATCACACCACACCCCATTGAAGGAGCCAGTGTGGTTGCAAGAATGAGTATCAAACTCGTTCTTGAACTGCGTAAAGGCTTGCATCTGGTTAGGACCACAAGCAACAAGATCGGCAATAAGGTCACCAAAAGTGAAAAAGCAAGAGAGTAAGAGCAGCATCAAGAGAATATTCAAACGCATAAGCGATTTAGACATGATGTAGAACTTTGTAAGAAGGATTTAGAGTATTTGGTAACGAAATGTGAGAGGGGAGATTTGGTATAAATAGTTTTCTTTCATAGTAGAGACTTAACTAGAAGAAGTTAGAGCTAACGTGAAGTTGTAATCATATCCATGCATGCATGATCCACGTTTGATGACTTTTTTTTTTTCTAATGTATATAAGTTTAGATTGAAACCACATTAGTTTGAAATTCTCACATATATGTCCAAAACCAGTGGGTCATATTAATTATTTATAAGAGCAAAAATATATAAATAAATATAATTTTTTTTTTGTCATATAAATAAATATAATAAATACGTCTTGTAACGTGAGAAAGGGAGAGAGACTGGATTAATTTGGGTCAAAACTAGCGATCAATGCGGGGCTAAATAGTAACCGATGAATTGTTGCTGAACTGAATTGCTGAATTTGCTAAAAATATCTGTGATTTTTTTTGCTGAATCTAGCTGAATAATTTTAGAGATAATTTTGAAAATATATGTTTTTAACTACCACTTTTTAAAAATACTTTTTTCAAAACTTTTCATAAACCCTACAAAAAATGTTAAATTTATCCGTAATCTTATAAATATACACACAAATTACCTTGTATGTGTATAAAACTTTATATATCTTTCATGTATACCATATAAAAACTTTTAAAAATATTATTTAGATCGAATTTCTAAGTAGTAAAATATTTAAATCGAATCTCGCAGTAGTAGTTATTATTTAGAAGTACTTTATAAACCGTACAAATTTTTATAATTGATTTTCATATTTAAACAGGAGTATTTTTGAAAATGGATAGATAAAAAAGGTATTTTTGAAAAGGGATATTTCTCAAAAATTCTCATAATCTCAAGGGTAAATGGTAACCGCATAATCTACCTGATTTTTTTATAAATTTAATAATATAATTATACTTATAAAAAGATTATGTAATGCAATATTTATTATAAACAATATTAAGTAAATAAATAATGAAATTATGGTATATTTTTTTTCTTAATTACAAACAGAAATTCAGCCAAATTTGAAATACAATATTTTCATTCATGTATCTACCTAATATTTGTTCAATGCTACAAACTTACATAATCTTGCTACAAACTTTATATTTAGTGTAAAACCATCTATAATTGTGCTATATATCTTGCTCTAAAAATAGAGAACTGGATAGTGTTGCTTCAAATTTGGAACAACACTATTCAATTCTCTATTTTTAGAGCAAAAATTTTTTATTTGCAAAATGCTCCTCAATTTTTACACATTACCATTTTATACCTAATCAAACTTGTATAATTTTTTTTGCTTGTTTGGATTGAAAGTATTGAAGGAGATTTGGTTCTTCAATGAAACTTAAATCTCGGTATAAAATTTTGTTTTCTCTTCATTTGTTCAATGCTAAATTCTTACTTTGAAACTCTAAATGTTGTTGTCGCTATACACTTGTCTTTTTTAATAAATTATATTTATAAATTAAAAATCAAAGAACTAAAATAGAAGTTAAAATAAAATATTTGATAAAACTACTTAAATTATTATATTTAGAGTAAGAAATAGAGCCAACTATTGGAAATCAAAACTCCGGTTTAGTGGCTTCTTCAAATCTCCGGTTTTCTTAAACCTATACGAAATCAAAACCAGAACCAGAACAATTCAAAAACAAAAAACCCCAAATCCATTTTATTTTATTGTTGGGATAAACTTGAACGGTGGATTTTGTATGGAGCCACCGAGTTCGAGACCGGAGGAGCCTCCGTCATGGGAGGACCTTTACAAAGTCAATCTAATGCCGTCGGAGCTATTCCTCAAGTTCCGCAAAGAGCTTCAAGGCCTTCGTGTTGGCGTCAATCTAGAGGTCCCCTCTCATTAAAATTGAGTATGAAGTTGTAAAGTTTGAATCTTTATGGGTAATGGATTTGAGTGTTGGCTTAGTATTCGTTTTATTAGGGATTGTTACAGCTATTGATGGGTTTACATATGTATTCAAAGAGACCTGTTCTATGCTGTTGATTGAGCTATGAGATGTCTTTTTCGTCTGTGCTGTTATATGTAAAGTACCCACGGATGATAAACACAAAAAGATTGTCTTGAAGTTGTAAAGTTTTGAACTTTATTGATTTGAGTGTGGAGCTAACTAAGTACTCGGTTTATTGGAGATGGTTCATCTATTGATGCATTGTCGCATGTGTTCTTGGGTTGTTAATTGAGCTATGTGATGTCTTTTTCGTATGTGCTGTTATATATAAAGTACCCACGAATGATAGACACAAAAAGATTGTCTTGAAGTTGTAAAGTTTGGAACTTTATGGAGTTATGTGTAGAGCTAACTAAGTACTCAGTGTATTGGAGATGGTTCATCTATTGATGCATTCTCGCATATGTTCTTTTGTTGTTTGAGCCATGAGATGTGTGAACATTGTCTTTACTTGAATGTTCCTGTTATGTAACGAACCAACAAATGATTCAACGCAAAGATTGTCTTAAAGTTGTAAAGTTTGGAACTTTATGGAGTTGAGTGTGGAGCTAAGTACTCGGTTTATTGGGATGGTTCATCTATTGATGCATTCTCACATATGTTCTTGTGTTGTTTAAGCTATGAGATGTGTGAACATTGTCTTTACTTGAATTTTCCTGTTATGTAATGAACCAACAATGATTACAACAAGGCTTGTTTTGAAGTTGTGAAGTTTTGACATTGATGGATTGTGAATTTGAGTGTCGAGCTAAGTATTTGCTTTATTAGGGATAGTTCATCATTGTCTTGTTTTTGAATTTACCAGTTATGTAATGAACGCACAGATGATTAAAACGCAAAGCTTGTTTTGAAGTTGTGTAGTTTGAAAAATTTATGGATTATGGATTTGACTGTGGAGCTTAAGCTTTGTTAGGGATAGTTCATCTACTGATGAACTCACATATGTTCTATGTTGTTTGAGACATGAGATGTGCCTTCATTTTATTTTCCTTGGACTTGATGCAGTTATACAACGAACCCACAAATGATTACCATGCAAAGCTTGTTTTGAAGCCTCTATGTCCAGAAAGGAAGTGGAAGTTTATATATGAGCCACTACACCAAGAAGTTCGCGTTTTATCAAAGAAGATTCCTGTAACCAGATTCCTAAACCTCCAGGTTTGTTTTCTGATGTTGTGTATGCCGTCTCTTGTGTCTATATTTGGAAGCTTTGTATACATACAATATGTTGTAATCTTATAAATTATCATATGCAGGTTGGTGTTGGACATAACTTTCAAATGAATGCAATTGGTTGGAAATGGAAGCTTACCTCATGTTTGGGTGGAGATGGTGTGTCTCGGATTCGAAACAAAACTACGCTTGGTCTTAGTCCTGGTATCGATTTCCGGTTTGGATGGAGAGCTGATTTTGTACTCCCAGAAGTTACTGGGCAAGTCACAAAACTTCATGTCTCCAGTATTCAAAACAAACACTTTATACTTCTGTTCTGGTCACAATGCTTAGCTGATGATTGAAACAGGGCCCTTGGTACTGAGGAACCGTTATTTAACATGAGCTCCGGGCGTTTAGAGGCATCACTTGACAGAGTAGAGGCCATTATAACTCATTCAGATTATCTATAAACCATTCGGTAAGTGTAGGTCTTCTTAAGTGGTTTCTTTCAAACTAGTCACCCAATCTAATACATTGTTAGTGTAACGCTTTGTTTCTTGTTACATTCAGGTACTCTTCGTGTTGGGGATGCTTGAAAGAACATACATTGCGAAAACAAGGACGAGATCAGAAGGCAAACATGTGAAAGCACTATGGTCTTCACAACCAAAACATAAGAATATATCCATAAGATTTTGCTTTAGAGATAAGCTGAAAGCACAAGCACTTGTGGGTAGTTTCATGCTATTAATATGATTTGGTAAGCAATCACAAGTTTGATGGACGTTCATGCAAGAAATGTAGAATCGTTGGATCGTTGATACAAGTTAGTGTTTGCAGGCTTGTACATGGTTCCGAAATAATCAAATGTATTTTACTTCGAATCAAATTGCAATGATAGTAAATGTAAATTAGATGTTTGCTAAGTTGGTTGTTGAAAAAAGTGAACTTAAGGGGATGTAATAGAATGGTAAATTACAGTGTTCGTGTATATGTATTACGTGCAAGAGCAATGACCAAGACAAGTTTGACATATCTATATTAACATTTTTGAACTACATTTTGGAAACTAACCTTTAATTTTGTATTATTTGCATAATTAAATCTTTCTTATTTGAATAAATAACAAAAATTTAAGGTTAATTTTGTAATTAAATCATAATAAAATTACAAAATTGGAAATCAATATTTATTAAATTTAACAAAATTTCCTAAAATATCTCCCTAATAAATCAAATATTTCTCTAATATCTCTATATGATCTTATTTGTTTTCAAATTTATATTATTACATAAAACATATGTATAGTAAAAATATAATTTTTTTTTTTGCATATGTTGCAATTTTAATTTTTGAAAACGGACTATATTACTCAAACGATACAAAAATGTATGTACTAAACTATTATTGATAATTGTGTAGCACAGGTCATGTGATGGAGTGTAACCACCAAGGAAGGGTGTCGATCGACACTAGTAACTTTTTGTTCGACGGTTTAAGTTTTAAATCGTCGGTACAATTGGGATTGGTTTGGGAGAAATCTAGGGCGATTTAAAGGCTTAAGGGTGCGCCGTTTTCCTCATTTTAGAGTCCTTTGTCGTTTTGTGAAGGTTGAGAGAAAGCAGAGAGTGAGTTTGATCTTTTAGGTGCCTTTGAGTGAGTTTTTGGAGAGATCAAAACTTGGTCTTGGTAGTTTAAGGCTAGTAAAGGCAAGATCTGTGGTGTTTGGTGTATGTGAAGGTTGTTTCACCCTTGCTAGTCCTTGTTCGTTGCTGTTCTTTCTTGTTTAAGAGGTGAGTGCATGACCAAGGCTTATCTAAGCACTTTTGATCATTGTTTTGGGTGTTTGGATGATTGTTGGATTGATTTCTTTGTTTGTTTGGCGGTTTATGTGATGATTGGACCCTGTGAAACCCCTTGGAGACTCGCTCATACCATGTGGTTGATTTGGAGAGGAGATCCAGTGAGAAAACGCAGTTGGAGCGTCTGTGTCGGTGTCGATCGACACCAGTGGTGGGTGTCGCTCGACACCAATGTTTTGTTCTGCGAGGATAGCTGTGACTCGCGAATGGAGTGTCAAGCTGTCGATCGACACCAATGGTGAGTGTCGATTGACACCGATCGTAGCCAGCAATGCTGGATGTTATTTTATTGGTTGTTTGGTTCATATTCCTTGATGATGATTGATTTTGCTTGTGTGTATAGCCGGTAGTGGGATGATTGCCTCACTAAGAATTTATGAAATACTTGTGCATCTCTTTTCTGTGATACAGGTAAAGCAAAAGTGTGATCCGTGGAATCATGGCGAGGAGAGGAGGATGATCTAGGCGCTCATTGGTGTTTTAGATTATTGTTGGAATTGTTAGGGTGTTAGAACGGAATTTAGAAGCATGTTAGGGTGTTTATGTTTCTGGAATAATGTTTTGCTGAACTTGCTGGTTTAATGAAATTGTTTTAATGGATTTCTCGTTAAGTCTTCTGCTGGTTATGTTTTGATCGGTTTAATTGATTTGAATGTAGTTTTGTTCGGTTTAATTGATTTGAATTGATTAGGGCTGGTTTACAATTAATTGAGTTAATCCGGTCTGCATGTTTAAAAAAAAAAGAAAAAAAACGGGATGGATTCTTTCATGGAGCGGATTATAATTTACAAAATTATGATTATAGATGTTTTTACGGGTTGTCTACTATAATATAACTCACAAAATATTTTAATCTAAAATTAGATTATTTAAAAGAAAATTGGTATGCCAACACCATTTCATTATTTTGAATATTAGACTTATTAAATTAAGATTATGTAAAAAAGAATTGTCATGCAATATTCCATGGGTTAAATCATATAATTAACAATCAATATATTTGCCCAAAAAAACAATCAATATACAATACAATCTTATATACCAAACAAAAATAATAAAATATCTTTTACAACATCGTCCCGCGGTGTACCGCGGGTTAAAATCTAGTATATATATTTTTTAATTTGACTATATTTATTTATAGCTAGGTTCTAGGGTATCTATCTATCTATATATCTATATATATAAAGTTAGTTTTTTCTCTCTTCTCCTTAAGCCACATCATCATCTACTTCATTTTATTATTGAATTTTTAAAATTAATTATACCATTTTATCATTTAATTTTAAGATTTAAACCTATGTAAATAAGCTTTTCAAAAAGGGATATGAAAGGTTTTTTTTATATTATACATTATAAAACTAAAAAAAAAGTTAATTGATCAAAAGTTAAAAAAAATTTACTAATTATCGATTATACTAACAAATATATTTATAAAAGATTATAGTTTTAAGTGAATGTTTAATATATATATATATGATTATATTTACACAATGTAAACCTAAATTATAATGGGATTTAACGAGAATAGAACAAAAAGTAAGAAATTTTGAGAATATAATTCTAGGGTAAGTTAAAAATTGGTACCTAAATAAATTGAAAACAAAAAGTAAAGATGTAATAACTCAAAAATTAGTTCTCTCACCTACAGCCATATAAAATTACATTTTTGTCCCTAACTTGATTTTAACCAAAACAAACAAAAGAGAGTAACATATTAACACTGTTTATCTATGATTAATATCAGTTGATAACTTATTTTTAAACATGTTAAATAATCTGTTATCGCGATAGTTTACATATTATTAGTTAAATGAATAATAACTTATTTTTTTTATTGATAGAATTCGATAACACTGTTCATCCATGATTAATAGCATTGGATAACTTATTTTTAAACATGATAAATAACCTATTACCGCGATAATTTACATATTATCTGTTAATTTAATACTAACATAATTCATATGTGATTGATAGTATTCGATAACGCTGTTTGTGAGTGCTTAATAGCATTCGATAGCTTATTTTTAAACATACTAATAATCTGTTATCGTGGTAATTTACATATTATCACGAAGCCGCCATGGATTAAACGATAAATCTTCAAAGTCTCACTATTTATCGAGCTAACAATATTTGTATTTGATAATATTATACTTATCTAATTCAGGTTTAGATCACACATCTGCAAAAAAGATAGAAATTATGAACATGATCGCGCCGTGATCTGTAACAACACCACCGGCACCACCTTGGGAGAGAAGGAGACGACAACTCTCGAAGGAAGCGGTGGGAACTCACCAGATCTGTCGCTGTTGCAAACGTAAAAGCAAAGACGAGTCGTTGACACTTAAATCGCTGAATTTGCAGCCATGTAGGTGAAGCTGCCGGGGCGATTATTCTCCATCTCCATCTTCGTATCTGTGGGAATTGAAGATCTATCAAAATCACAGCATAAAAAACCGTGGATGCTTAAGTTTCTCTCTCTCTCATAAATATTTGGATGTGTGTGTAGCCAAAGGAAGAAGAAGAATGTGCTTTTGGATAGAGAGAAAATCTAATCTACAGAAAGAGACAAAAATAAAATAGGGTTAAAATGGTCAGTGAAATTATAAGCTAAATAATAAATTTTGGTGCCCACAAACTTAATTTTTGTTTTATCTGAGTACATAGATTGTAGTTTCCCATAATTCTATCTAATTTCTGTCTCACAAAATTTTCCAACATAAATGAGATAGGTCGGACCAAAACATAAATTATCATTTTTTTTAAACGTATAAAAAGGCAAAAATACAAATAATATTTCTTTATAGGTTTCCAATATGAATTAATTATTTTTTTCCAATAACCACATATGTTAAACTAATATAAAAAATAAAAAGTAACTATATTTTATAAAAATTGAAAATTAAAATAAAAACAATATTAAATGAAATAAACTAAATATAAAGTAAATTATACTAATATGTTAAATTTAAAAATTGTTCCATATGAAAAAACAAAAAACATATAAAACATAAAATCAGAAACAAATATATAATAGTATAAAAATGATCATCGAGATATAAATTACGACAAATCCAAAAAAGAAAAACATAAAAAACAATTATGACAATATATGAAGAGATAATGTAAACAATAGAAAAATACAACAATCCGTCCAAAACTCACAAATCATTTTCAAATTTCAGGCCAACATATTAAAAGAGCCCACAATATTAACATCTAGATCTATATTTGGTAAAAACCCTAATAGCACACGTTTTTCAATGATTCTCCACCGCACTTCCGTTTACACCCACACTTCGACTTAAACTATACCCACTTAATTTCTCAACAACTAATGAAGCTAAAACTCAATAGTTTTTCTATACTAACACAATCTAAGTTTTTAAAAAGTAAAGTATGATATAGTGAAAAGAATAAGTACAAAATAAAATACGAATCAATTACGGAAACAGACTAGTATATATATATAAAGTTAGATTTTCTCTCTTCTCATGATGCCACCTAAGCATCCACCTAAGCCACATTTTTGCTTTTACATTAAATAAATTTAAAAAATTCATTTAGTGCATATTTATGTTACTTATTTAATTAATAAAAGTTTATATAAATAAAAATAAATGATGTAAAATAAATAAAATTTTAAAATAAGAAAAACAATACTTTAATTTTTTTATTAGTGGTAATAATATAATGCAACTTTCATTTTAAATTGATTATAGTTAAAAATTTTAAATGCGTTACTGAGTTTTAGAATAGAAGTAAATTTTAAATTGATGGTATAATAAAACAACATTTATGTAATCTATATTAACATTTTTGAAGTACCTTTTGGAAAATAACCTTTTATTTTGTATTATTTTCATAATAAATCCTTGCCATTTAAATAAATAACAAACTTTTAAGATAAAATTTGTAATTAAATTACACCAAAATCGCAAAATTAGAAACTAATATTTATTACATTTAACAAAATTTCCTAAAATGTCTCCCTAATAAATTGAATACTCTCCAATATCTTTATATGATCTTATTTGTTTTAAAATTTAAATTATTACATAAAACATAAGTATAATAAAAATACAAATTTTTTTTTGAATATGTAGCAATTTGAATTTTT